CAGTAGTTGTAGTGGTAGTGATAGTAATAGTGGAAGTAGCAGCAGCATCAACAGCAGCAGCAGCAGCAGCAGCGCGACCGCAGCCCCCATCCCCACCCCTACCCCCCTAAACAGCAGCAACAACAGCAGCAACAGCAACAACAACAGCAGCAGCAGCAGCAGCATGAGCTTAGAGAGCAGCATATACCGTGAAACACTGCAGCGTGAGGAGTGTGTGCATGCAATAGCAATCGAAGAAGCAACGGGGCTGCAGCAGCTGCAGCAGTATATAGATGTCTTTCAGCAGTGTTTAGTTGGCGGGCTGCTGCCTAGCCAGCTGCCAGCAGCAGACAGAGCAGCACTCATCGCGGCTCTAAGACACAGGGTACTTATACCTAGAGAAGCAGCAGCAGCAGCAGCAGCTGCTGCTGCTGCTGCTGCTGCTGCTGCTGCTGCAGCTGCTGCTGCTGCTGCTGGGGGTGGTGGTGCGGGGGGTGCGGGCGCGGTAGGCCCGGGGGGGCACGCTCTTGCTCATACTACAGCTGCTGCTGCTGCTGCTGCTGCTGCTCCTGCTGCTGCTGCTGCTGCTGGTGCTGGTAGATATACAGATAATATAGGTAGTCATGGGCAAACAGCTGCAGCAGCAGCTGCTGCTGCTGGTGATCCTGCTGCTGCTGCTGCAGGTGCTGCAACAGGAACAGCAGCAACAGCAGCAACAGCAGCAGCAGCAGCAGCAAGTACTGCAGCAGCATTTCCGTTTCGTGAGAGACAAGGCATAACCCATCGGTTGCTGCTGCAGAGCAAAGAGAATGCAGCAGCAGCAGCAGCAGCAGCAGCAACAGCAGCAGCAGCATCATTTAAGTGTAGTGCTTTTGGTGTTGCAGGTGGTTTGAATTCCCCTACAGCAGCAACAAGCAGCAGCAGCAGCAGCGTAAGCAGCAGCAGCAGCAGCAGCAGCAGCTACGTTGCTGCTGCACCTTCTCTCTTTCTAGGCCCCGTGCATGCACCCTCCTCCCCTACTGCTGCTCTCTATGGCGGCTGCTTCTCTATGGCCACGGAGAGGTGTCCTGCTGCTCCTTAACTATACCACACACAACCTGCTGCAGCTGCTGCAGCAGCAGCTGCTGCTGCTGCTGCTGCTGCTGCAGCACAAGCGGATGCAGCACATGCTGCTGCAGCTGCTGCAGCAGCTGCTGCTGCTGCAGCACAAGCGGATGCAGCGCATGCTGCTGCAGCTGCTGCAGCACGAGCTGCTGCAGCTGCTGCAGCACAAGCTGCTGCAGCTGCTGCAGCACGAGCTGCTGCAGCTGCTGCAGCACAAGCTGCTGCAGCTGCTGCAGCACAAGCTGCTG